TTACTAAATAAAGCAGTTGATTTTTAAAATAAACTCAAATTCAAGGCAGTTGTGTGCATGAAACCCTGTAGCTTTTGACCTCTGTGTGATTGTGTTAAAATGTGTGCTGTGTTATCTGCTGATGGACTTGATATTCGTGCATTGTGTAACTGTAGAGTGGCTAGAAAGGAGTCTTCTACCCAATTTTTTTTTTTTCTGTTTTCCCAAAAATTATAAAGCTCAAGCTATTCACCAGTAAATTTATTTTTTCTTTAAAAAATGAAGAGTGAAATTTGCTCCAGTTCAAGAGAACACACATCTTGGGATAAGTGCCCTGTTTTAAATCCTTACCTCTTTATTGGTGGGTAAATTTCTCTGGTAATTTGAGAGGGGATTTATAATCTTTTTCAGGAAAGAATACTTAGTGAAGTCAGAGGGACTTCATGCTTCATTGCTTTCCTGAATATATGGAAAGAGACTTCAGCATATGCTCAAATGTTTTCTTGAACTGGGAATTTAAAATAAAATTAAAAGGCAATATCATTGTAGACATTATTAAAAATTCAGATTACTGCTGTTACTATGCAGATATTTTCTTCAGCAATATCACACATTACCATAAAATTTACTTTTTCAAATAACCCCCAAATAACATTATTACAGTCATTACAGTAATTGCATAGAAATATAGTCACTGTTGCTCCAGAAACACTGACTCTTTTCATGTCAACATTTCACACAGCTACTGGGCTTTTTGCTTATCTCACTTCATTCATGAACACCCTAACTTGATGTTAGGCTGTTTGTGGTAGAAGTAAATTAATTCTTGGTCCCACTGGTAGTAAGGTTGTACATTGCATAAGAAAGTTTATTGCCAATATTTAATGTTTCTGTTTGTGTAGTTCTCTTCACATGAACGTATTCTGAATTATATATATATATATATGATTTTTAAAACAGCAGCAGGAATTTAATATATATATATCAATAGTGTTGATGAGGAGATGTTAGTATTTTTCAGTGTCATGGCTTCTTTCTTTTACAGGCATGGCTTTGTTAGATGCTGAGCACCAACAATGAATAGCTGGTATTACTCATTAGCTGAAATTAAAAAATAAAGCTAAATAAAGTAATAAAAGCAGTACGAAATAGCTTTCCATTATTTAATCCATACAACTTCTATATCAACATACTATTATTAATTTTTAACTAGAAAAATTAAAACTTAGGTAAATTCATATGCCTAAAATCCAAGGCTTCACAGAATATTTCAAAAATATTAACAAAAAACCCCCAAAAACATGCATCTTGAATAATCTGTATAGCCTCTGGAAATAAAACAGCTCATTACCTTTTAATGATACAAACAATAAACAAATCTTTTAATGGTGTCTGGTCATGCATTTTCTTCAATTTAAGATGCATTGCTTTAGAAATTGACAGATCTCTTCTGAAGGGAGTTTCTCCATGGCATACAATGGGAATATATAACCTAGTTAAAAATAGGAAATATTATGTCTACTACTGAACTAAGTTTTTGTCATACAAATATTCCCTGGATTTAGCACTGGGAATTTTTCTCACCTTCACCAAACACTTCATATATGATAAAAAGTTGGAAGGGACCCATCAAGAACATCAAGTCCAGCTCCTGTGCAAGACACCCCAAGAGTCACACCATGTGCCTCAGGGTGTTGTCCAAACATCTCTTGAATTCTGTCAGGCTTGGTGCTGTGACCACTTCCCTGGGGAGCCTGTTCCAGTGTTCAACCACTGTCTGGGTGTAAAACCTTTTCCTGATATCCAAACTAAACCTCCCCTGTCTCAGTTTCAGCTGTTTCCTTGAGTTCTGTCACTGGTCTTGGGAATTAAGCGATTGATACCAGCCTCGCCTCTTCCTGTCCTGAGGGTGTTGAAGAACACAGTGAGGTCTCCCCTCTGTCTCCTCATCTTCAGGCTGAACACACCAAGTGACTTCAGCCACCTCAGCCAAGATTTTACCTCCAGACCCTTCACGAGCCTCATGGCTCTCATTTAGACACTCTCTAGTAGCTTGATGTCTTTTTTAAATGGTGGTGTTCTCCAGTGCCTCCAGCACTCCAGGTGAGGCTGCGCCAGTGCAGAGCAGAGCGGGACAATCCCATCCCTTGCCTGTCTGGAAATGCTGTGCCCAGGATACAGAGTTGGCCCTCCTGGCTGCCAGGGCACTGCTGACTCATGTTCAACTTGCCAGTGACCAGGATTGCAAAATCTTTTAAATATTTTTATTTTATGCAAATTTAGAAATGGCTTCTCTATTAGCAGTAATGAACTGAAAATCTTTTTACTTATATAGCTATGTTTCAGAAACATAGCTTTTTTTGTTAACCATTTATAACAAAATTTTGTTAACCATTATTTTGTTAACCATTTATACACAGCGGGAATGAGGCCCTAATTTAAATTCAGTACTGATACAGACTGTTATTTGTGGCTAGCATTATCTTTAGTAATTTGATTGTTCATTTCTTATGTAAAGTAAAAGCAAAGAACGTGTAATAACAGTAAAGCTTTCAACTGAAAGCTAGAAGAATACAATGAAGTAATTAAAATTCTCATTTTCTTCACCTAACCTTATTTCCCAGAATGGCTTTGTTAATAACTAGAAAGTAAGCAAAATGGGATCAATAACTCATCTGCTCTTTGTTGTAATCATTACCTAGTAGTTTTCTCTTTTAATCTTTTATCTCTCTTTAGTCTTTATTCTACATGTCAAAATTCTGGATTATTTGCTTCATACACTCCAAAATACAGTTCACTGATACAAGTATTGCTGATTTCAACTAAAATGTGTTCCAGCTTACAGTTTTCATCCTGTGAGATAAAGAGGTTTGAGGGAGAGAGAGGTTAGAGAAAAAGGTCACAGTAGGCTACTAATGGCCTGTTACAGGCTTTACAAAGCAATATATTATCAAGTGAAATCATGTAGACTCTTGGAAGAACGATTTAGGGCAGTTACTGTCTCAGCTTTTTTCACAGATGATATCCACTTATTCTTATCTTAAAAGGTGACTTTATAAATTAAACATAGTCATGCTGGAACTTCTTCACTTATTTATTCTCTGTTCCTGAGCAAAAATAAATACTTTTTTTTTTTTTAACAGCAGAAAGTAGCTGTATTTTCCTGAACTTTTTCTAGTCTGTCGAAGCAATAGAGTACATACCTGTAAATTTCTGCTTTGGCTCTGACTACTCTGAACTGTATGACTGCTACATAAGAGAGGAAAAGAATGAATTTTCTAGGGAGGCTGAGAATATAGGATGTTTTCTCTGTTTGAATTCAGGACTTTGGAGTTTTGGTCTACTTTTCTGCACAAGTCATCTTTCTAGGAAATAATTGCCACTTACAAATTTAAGATAGAAAATGCTTCAGAAATGGGAACTGCTCATCAAAGAGACTCGTGTTTCAACCTAAATGATTCTATGATTCTGTGTTACAGATGAAGCTTTTGGCATGAAGTTAGTTAAATCTGTTTTGATGTTTCTGTGTTTATTTGTGCACATACATATAAATACATACTAAACTGCAAAATGTGCATTGGCAACCGCTGTGCTATTTTAAACAATAAAGACCCTAAAATTTCAGTTACTGAATTAAATATTCTGTCATCATATTGTCAGTCCTCTGTGGCAACCAGCATGGAGTAGGAAATACGGTGTTTCAAGGCAAAGTTGACATTTTTTCCCGAAGAATTACTTTAAGTTAACAGCATAATGCAGTGATTCCATGTGAAAGCATCCCAATATGGTGATACACATGCATATAAATAAATCTGTTGAGTAGGTTATTGACAGGCATAATTAAAGAATAGCAATACTTCATACATTTTTTACAAGGCTTTCTCACAAGCAGCAGCATGATGGAAGGGTTACCTGTGTGTTATCCAGCTACACAGGAGAAAGGGAGCAGATATGTGCTAGTTTAAAATGTTTGCCTAATGTCTCACTGTGTAGCAGCTCTCTGAATGTGGCTGCCTGTGAGCTGGCTCTCTGCACACTATGAACACAGTCACTCAAAGAGAGGCATGGTGCAATCTTCTGTCATTGTAAGCCCAAATTAAATCAACCCTTGAAGAGTTTTGAAGTTATAGAGCCAGAACAGGAAATGGTTGTTCTCTGAAACACATCTGATTCTTCTTGGCTCTCATGTTATAAGCCAATTCAGATGTTCCTCCTCAGCTATTTAATACAGCATTTTGCTTAGTTGTTTTTGTGCCTCCTTACGGCCACTCTTGGGAGGTGCCTGGAGTCCCTCACTCTGCTGTGTATCTGCAGCTGTACCCCAAAAAAGCTGAAGATGAACAAAAGCCAAAGGGGAAACTATGGGAGAGCACATGAAGGCTAAAAGTATTCACAGCTGGATAGGTGCTTTGCTCATTCTGTGTCCAAAATGCAAGCTGCCCTTTGGCAAGACCTAAGCCTGTGCTTATCTAAGATTTAAGGCTTAAAATAGGTTCTTTGCCTCTGTGTCTGTGATGAAGATTAGGTCTCTCATCCATGCTATAGTGCTTAAGCTAAATTTAATTCTGAGTGTTGGAACGACTTGCTCATAGAATTATGGCACAGCTGTGGAAACTACTGTTGTTTTGGTTGAGGATTTATAAGACTAAATTCATATGCATAAAGAAAATATGTATTTATTTTTTTAAAATAAACACATGCTAGGGAGGATGATTCCACACCTGAAAGAAGGAATTACATAGCTGAATGGAGCAAGTTCTTCAATAGCACAGGTCAAAGCCAGTACTCATATAGGAGGCTAATGCCCCCCTCACCACATTAACTGCATGTGTGGCTAGAAACACAATTGACAAGCACATAGCAAGTTTTATGTCTCGGTTTCTTCTCAAAAAAATGTAATTGCAATCATCTGCTAAGCAGTTATAGTCTGCTATGGGAAAGCTGTATGGTGCTACTTACATTTCCTAATGCATTTTGGCCATAAATTTATTTCAAGGTGTCTGCCTATATTTCTTTTCCAGGTACAGGTCCTTCGCAACGCAGGGGAAGAGGTGACCCTAACTGTGTCCTTTCTGAAAAGAGCACCTGCTTTTCTCAAACTGCCACTGAATGAAGACTGTGCATGTAAGCCTTTATTACTTGGCCAAAAGAACCCTCAATTCAATACCCATGAACACTTGCAGCTTCTGAAACTACCATGCATTAAGAGTGATTGACAGCAGCTTTTACAATCATCCTTACTGCCTAAATATGAGTCCATTTGCCAGGGCTTGTGTTAACATTGACCTCAAGAGAAAAATTGCTATCTATGGTTGAAAAACAGATAACCAGGCATTTGGCTGGTGTGAATCAGTAAAGTTGCAGGAAAAACAGTAGAATTACATTAGTTTGCAATAGCTCACATCCACATGCAGAGTATTTAAAATCAATTTTTCGGGCAGCATCAGCTAGTATTTTAGTCCCAGAGAATTTTTTCTAGTAAATGTGAAAATGAGATTTTGTGTATATATTTAGAGGACTTAATTTTGCTGTTTAAAATTCAGAGGCTTTGGTGGTGATGTCTGTCTACCTAAGAATAAATTACTCTGGAATGGTAAGTATTTTGTTTTAGTCCAAACTGAGTTGTAGTGAACTAGACCCATGAGAGTCGTATGGAGACAGCTGTCTTCCTTTAATTATATTAAATTGTAAGTGTGGATGCATAATTATAGACAATTGCAGCATATCTAAGCATATTTATATATCAGCCTGTGCCTTTTGCAACCTCTGCTTTCCTTCTGCTTTTTGCTCCCTAAGAGTGAACTAAATTGCTCAAGTTTTAAGCAAGAAAACAATAAATATTTGATTTCAGTACTTCTAGCCTTTGATTTTAAATTAGCAGGAATAATCTAAATAATGAAATAACATTTTATACAAACATTAGATGGAATATTGTCTTTTCCTCTTGTCTATGTATTAACTTTAAATGAAACAAGAAAAAAACCAGAACACTCTATTCTAAAATAATAATGTGTCCCGGTACCTCTGTCCCTTTTATGAAAGGCTGTGTGTCGTGGTTTTAAACCAGTAATTAAAAATTATTTACTTCTTGCTGTGAGATATGGATTAGAACAAGAGCAAAACAGGCTTAAAACTTAAAAAGAATAAAGACAGTTTATTAACAAACTACAAGAATAAGAACACCAGAATAAATTTCCAGAAAACCCTTTTATCTCCCACTACTTGACCATTTCTTTGTGCACGTGACAACATAGAGACAAAAAAAACTTTAGAACTTTGGTGTTTAAAACAGTCCCAATTCTTGCTAGAGTCTTTTTATCAGTTTTTGTAGAGAAACAGAAGTCTCTTTCTGCTAACTTATGGAGTTTCTCACAAGAAAACTATTTCTGTTATAGTTTTCTATTGCTCTGATGTCAGCTGCCTGGAAATCTGTCATCAGTTCTTCTCCTCCCATTTCACATCACTCTGAGGTGTGTATGGGCCATGAGTCTAGGGATGGCATTTTAAGGATGAGTTATTCAAAGGCAAAAGTCTTCTTCATCTGTCTCTGTGAGCTTTCCTGGAAAACAGTTTTCTCATTGCCCCCAAGGCTTCAAAATCTTCACTTTACTCAGTTCCAGCAACTCACTGTATCACAAGTACTCTCTCTTTTGCTCAAAATTTACACTTTAAACACTATTCCTCCCAATACTGTGTCATGAATTAAAGGAGTCTTTTTCAACTACTATTGTCCATCTCCATAGCTTTAACAGAAAGATATTTCAGCTGTAAAGCATCTCCTTATTCTCTCTTTCCTATTTAAAACTTAACTCTTTTCTTCACTGTTTTTGGTGGTTTTATGATGTCTTCTCTATGTTGATTTCTCTCTCTTTCTCTGTCTTTCTGGGAAAAAGGAGTAATCTGTACGTTTATCCAGGTAATAAAAGAATTAAAAGCTTTAAAAAAGCTGCAAGAGTTCATGGTGTCAGGTTTCAGTCCAGCAGCAGCAGAAACTGAAAACTAAACTAAGCTGGCCAGCTCTGCTTTCTTTTCCTCCCCCCACTTCCCTTGCGGCCTTGTCCGGCCTAGGTGGGGGGGGAGCGCGGGGAAGAAGAGGCCACGACAGAGCCTTGTTACCTTCTCAAAAGCCAGAAACAAAAGAGGACCAGAGTGCTCTGATTTTACATCTTAAGGAGGTGTTTACAAGTTGACTTTACTTTTTAATGGTCAAAACTGCTTAGACATTCTTAGAAATGACTGATAATTGGTCAGGAGGAAAGACTCCCATCAGCCACCAGCAGTTTCAACTTCCTTAGCTCTCAAAGCTATCTTAAAGGTAAAGCCACCCCATGACACTGTGGTACCACAGAGTAGCCTGCGTGATGCACAGGAATGTGCATTTGCATGGATCCTATCATGTCACTCTTGAGGTGTAGCACTGTAATTTCTTAAACCATTACAAGAACATTCAGAACTGTAAACTCCACTGAGAGTAACAAAATGGTTATCTGATGAGTTCCTTCAAGTAAAAACCAACAGAGAAGGTACACACTTCCCTTTTATTATCAAATTTGAAAGAAATGTGTGATTTTTCTTGTCAAACAGACATTAACTTTTTTTTTAAATCAAAGCACTGGGAAAGTTGTTCTTGAGCTATTTAGCTTACAAAGACATTCCACTCAAGCCAGAAGACTGGTATTGGCTGAATGGAGAAAGTAAATTAATGCTGTATATGATAGAAGTTATTAGGTTATGGGGAGAATGCATACATACACATACAAATTTGAAATATGTCATCATAGATGAATGAAGAATTTTCTTGTGAATTTGTGTTTGTGTTTTTCTTAGGTGCCCCCAGTGACCAAAGCAGTGGCACATCCTCTCCCCTCTGTGACAGTGGTTTGCATCTCAACTACCACCCCAACAACACGGTAAGAGCTTGAATCTCCTCAGTGGAATTAAACAGAGGAATATTTATAGTATAATAACTAATTGGAAGTACAAATAAAGGACATTAACAGGGAGGAGCTCTAGCTAACTCAGGAGACAGACAGTTCTGTAGAAGGAAAAAAAAATAGCCAGAAATTATGGCTGGGAATTAAACTGTCACAAATTATTACAGCTGAGATTATACCTTGATACATGTGATTGCTGTTTACATGGGCATTAGGGACTTTGCAAAAGTTTTCCTTCTATTTTTTTTTCTCTGCATAGGAATTAAAATTCCTAAAATTAAAATATATCTATTTATAAAAAAGGAAGAAAAGTTTTTGAGAATATTTTCCATTACTACTATTGCATGCATTATCTAAAGTTTTTGGCAAAAGATGATTAGGTGCCTATTTTTAAGGTGAGAGTGTTTTACTTCTGGTAATGTGTACTTAAAATCTTACCTGAAGTGGGATAACACTATGGAACAGAATGTCTCTGGGACAAAATGCTACAGATGTCTGATCAGATATTTACTAAAAGATGCCTCTGAAGTGCAACAAGGGACTTAAAATTTTTTTTTAGCCAGAAAATGCAAAATTTTCTTTATTTTATTTCCTTTATTTTATATAATTTGAGGGTTTTTGTTGAGTATTTGGCTTTGTGATAGATGAAAATAGAAAAAGCACAGAAAAAATAAACCAGTATAGATTATAATTTAAAAAACAAATATTTAAAAACCTGAAATGTAAGCCATGCTGAGCAGCCACTTCTAAATTTCATCTTGTTTTATTGTACTTTCATGTTTTTCTATTAAAGGTTTTAAATAGCAGCCCACAGATTTAAATATCAATACCACAGATTTAAACACAATCATCATCTGGAAAACCCTTCAGAAATATACAAATTTTGGGAAGTGAAAGTTATAAATAGATAACATCAATAAAATATATATCAAATATCAATAAAAATAGATGTAATTTGTACAGCATCAACAAAAGCATGTATTTCTCATGTATCTATATAGATATGAATGTATGTGTGTAAAAATTCTGTGGCAGTAGATCCTAGGCTGATTTATTCAACTAGCTGCTGTAATTCTAATTTTGTTTTTATGATAAAAACATGCTTTTATTTGTGAATTCTTTTTTGCAGGTGTCAAAGCTTATCTAGATGAGCTCTAGTTTCCATTTGAACTAGAAATAGCTCAAATAGAAATAATTAACTGAAATAATTAACTGAAACCAAGTGTTCTTCTTTCCATTTAAATAATATAATCTAGTATCATGAGTCTGTAATTCACCCTAAATTAAATTTTCTAGCGATGACCAAGATGTGGTTCTTATATGTCCCCTTGTCATGGGAACAGAGTTCTTCATAAAACCAAAGGAGCCCTCAATATGAATTCCTAAGTTACATACAACTTTTATGCCACAGCTCTTCCTTTTTCTCAGAATATTTTCAAGAAGGAGTTCTGTCAGCAGTGTAAACATGTGATCGGTGAGCAACTGGCTCATGGTTGGACACAAAGAGTTATGGTGAACAGAGTGAATTTAGGCTGGTGAATGGTCACTAGTGGGGTTCTGCAGGGCTGTATCTCACACACAGCGCTCATCAACATTTTGATCAGTGACTTGGGTTCAGGACTCAAAGGGATACTAAATAAGTTTGCAGTTGATACAAAAATTTGGAGGAACTTTTATCTCCCTCAAAGACAGAGAGGCTTTACAGAGACCTTGACAAGTCTGAGGGCTGAGCAGCCACCAACACTATGAATTTTAACAAGGGCAAGAGCTGGATTCTGCACCTGGGAGAAGGCAACCCTGGGTGCACACACAGAGTGGGGAATGAGAAGCTGGTAAGCAATGTCACAGAAAGGGACCTGGGGTCCTGGTCTATGGCAAGTTGAAGATGAGTCAGCAGTGCTCTGGCAGCCAGGAGGGCCAAGCATGTTCTGGGGGGCATCAGGCACAGCATGGCCAGCTGGGCAAAGGAGGGGATTGTCCTGCTCTGCTCTGCACTGGGGCAGCCTCACCTAGAGTGCTGGGGGCAGTTCTGGGCACCACAATATAATACAAATACAAAGGTCTTAGCTCCAAAGGAGGTCAACGAAGATGGTGAAGGGTCTGGAGGAGAAGCTGTATGAGGAGACACTGATGTCACTTGGTCTGTTCAGCATCGAGAAGAGGAGACTGAGGGGAGACCTCGGGGAAGAGGATAGGTAGACCCTGATCTCTTCTGTGTGGGTACCAGTGGCAGGGCCCAGGGGAATGTTGTGACTGCAAGGTTTAGGTTGGATGTTAGAAAAAGGTTCTTTGCTTAGAGGATGGTTGAGTACTGGGACAGGCTTCCCAGGGAAGTGGTCACAGCATCAGCCTGACAGAGGGCAAGAAGAGTTTGAAAAAAACTCTCAGGAACAGTGAGATTATTAGGGATGTCCTGTGCAGTGCCAAGAGTTGGACTTGATGAACCTTGTGGGTCTTGTCCAACTCACATTCCATGATTCTGTGACTTACAGTCATAGTCTTGTTGATTCATATGAAGGAGACTTCTGACTCAGAACTTGAAGTAGAAAAGACTGGTTTTGGTCTTTTGTCAACAGTTCACAGTGTTATGTAGTCTAAAGATAGGGTTAACATTTTTCTTGTAGCCATATTTAGGCCTACAGTTTGTATCTGAACTTTTACTGCATTTCATCTTTTCCCCTAGTTTAATCACAGGTGAAGAAAGGTTCCCAAAATCAGAGAGAAAACATTAAAAATTCAAGATGTTCAAAACAACAACCTAGTGTAGTCTTCCTAGCCAATAATTTATTTATTTTTATTGAATCTATGGAATTTTTCACCAGAGATTCAGTGTTTTAAATAAGTGAACTACCTATGAAAAGCCTGCTGCTCAGCTAACATGATATTTACTGTGATATTTTGTTTCATATACATAAAAGATATATGAACATATATGTAAAAGTAAAGTTCAAATTTGTAAAGCTTTATAATTCCATAGATCTTACACAACATGCACGCTCTAGAAAAATAGAAGGTATACTTATTTTTTGTAATATTTATTTTATAGAAGATACCAGTATAAAAAAATATGAAGTTTGAGTTTAAAAAGAATGTAAATCAGCAGGTTTAATTTTACTTATATATTGATATACTGTCACTTGTTACTTGGGAGAAGAGGCCAAATCCCACCTGGCTACGGCCTCATTTCAAGTGATGGTGGAGAGCAATAAGGTCTCCCCTGAGCCTTCCTTTCTCCAGGCTAAACAACCTCCCTCAGCTGCTCCTCAGAGACCCGTTTCCATCCAGACCCTTTTCTGGACATGCCCCAAAACCTCAATGTCCTTGTTGGAGTGAAGGGCACAAAACTGAACATGGCACTCAAGGTGAGGTCTCACCAGTGCTCAGGTCAGAGGGACAATCACTGACTGCCCTGCTCCTGCTGGCCACACTATTGCTGATCCAGGCAAGGATGCCATTGGCCTTCTTGGCCACCAGGGCACAGATGGCTCATGTTCAGCTGCTGTTGACCAGCACCCCCATGTCCTTTCTCATTGGGCATGTTTCCAGCCACTTTGCCCCCAGCCTGTGGTGCTGCCTGGGGTTGTTGTGACCAAAGTGCAGGACCTGGAACTTTTTCATGTGAATCTCAGACAATTGGCCTCAGTCCTTTTATTCAGCCTGTCCAGACCCCTGTGCAGCGTCTTCCTACCCTACAGGAGATCTACCAACACTCCTACCCAAACTTGAAGTCATCTGTCAGCTCAGACTGCACTTCATCTTCCCCTCTTCCAGATCATCAGTATTAAATATTAAATAGTGCTGGGCCCAACACTGAGCCCTAGACAGCACCAGTCATGACTATCCACCAGCTGCATGTATCTCCATTCACCACCACTCTCTGGGCCCATCCAGCCAGCCAGATTTTTACACAGTGAACTGTGCACCCATTAAAGCCATGAGCAGCCAGTTTCTCCAGGAAAATGCTGTTCCAAGGGCTTTACTAAAGTCCAGAGGTGACAAATTCTAGAGCCTTTCCCTTGTCCGCTAGATTGGTCATCTGGTCATAAATGGAGATCAGGCTGGTCAGGCAGGATGTGCCTTACATAAACCTGTGCTGGCTGACCTGATTCCCTGGTTGTCCTGTATGTGGTGTGGGATGGCACTCACAGTTCTTCACTTTTCTTCAGTGGATCCCATCTGGCCACGTGGACCTGTGTGTGCCTAAATGTTGCAGCAGATCACTGACCACTTCCCCTGGTATTATGGTGGCTTCACTCAGCTCCTAATCCCTGTCTCCCCGCTCAGAGGTTTGCTACCAGGCAAATAATTGGTCTTACTATTAAAGACTGTAGTAAAGAAGGCATTAAATACCTCTGCTTTTTCCTCGTCCTTTGTTGCTATAAGAAGGCACTTAGAAGAATCATGCTCTTTCAGAAAATTAACATCATCATTAGCACTACTTTATAAAGCATTTTATAAAGAGGGGTTGTATTTTTAGAAACAGATGTTGATAATTTAACTTTTTATAAGCATTTCTCATGCAAATCTATATTCTTGAAAAATACTGGTCAAATTAGACTCTAGGTATTTATATACTCATTCTTTTAGATATGATCATAAACATGATAAAGTTCAGTCTTAATATAAGCCATGTCTTCTGTAAGTAGGTAAAATTATTCATCAAAAGCATGTAGTTTTGACAATTTTGACAATTTTCATCACATGTTAAATTCATTCCCAATTACCAGGTTTTGAGGTGATATCATTAGAGAAGATATGTATGTAAATGTGTACAGAGCCACAGGAAACAACTGAATTATGGTTATATTGTGAATAATTTAGAGATCCTATTCAGAATCTTTGCAGTGCTCACTAATAACTAATGACAAATGATTTAGGAAAAATGAAACACTGCCAAATTAAATATAGAGTCTTTGAAGTCTATCTCATTCTTTCCAAATCTGCTGAGTACTTACAATGATGTTTAAAACTGAGAAGGACCTTTTAATGTTTTTCAGGATACATTATCATGTTCCTCATGGCCAGCATCCCCAGGACTTAGGTGGGAGAAAAGGTGGTGTGATCTTCGATTAATTCCACTTCTTCATTCACGATTTTCCCAGTACCTTCCAGGATCAGATTTGTGCAGGTAAAGAAGTTCTGAAGGTTGAAACTTGACTTCTTGGTTGACAGATGCATGCCCTAGGGAGTTGCCTTGTTGGAGAAATTGCATTATTATTTCCACGGCAGCTGACAGAGACATGAAATATAGGAGCTTTCATAAAGGTCCTTCTAGGTCCACCTTGGCTCATATTCTCCTCTGACATCAGCTGGGACCAGGTATGTAGGGAGATGATGGGTGACCTTTCTACTTGCATCTAGGGCTCAGCATATTTTGCAGTTTGAGATGAAACACACACCATCTTGTTTAATAGCTGCTAATGCACCTGTCCTCAAAAGCTTCTTTCTAAGTTGCTTTTTTTTTTATGCTGTTGATTTTTACAATGCATTATGGTATTGAGCTCTGCAATGTGATAGTATTTTTAAAATGTGTTTCCTTTTGTTTGTGTTAGATACATCATCTGATACCTACACTGGGTGAAATAATCTTTTTTGAGAGCAGCAAGGACTGGCTGCCCTATGGGGAAGATAAGCCAAGAGAGAGGGTGGCAGTGAGGCTGGACAAAGCATTGCCTATGCAGGCAAAGATCCTATCCCTCTGCTTCCCATGGAAGGACAGAGAAGGCTTAGGGACAGTCTTCAGAGGAGTCCGTCATGGTCAGATGGGACTCAATTTAGGCTGGGAGGCCAGCCTAGAAGTCCAAATCAGTGGGATACATGTCCAGGCACAGAAGTAGCTGCAAGCATACTCAGACAAGGACCATAAGCAAGAGCCTGAGCTCATAAGTATCTCCCAGATCTTGTACTTCTTTGCTTTATGTTTATAGCTACAGTAGGGACTTTTTTGTTGTTGCTTCCATATAGCTAAAGTTATTTTTTCCTGTGTTTTACTTTGCATGTGTTAACATTGCCAATTTGTTACAATCACTGGGATAGCTGTCCAAAGCTCAGAGTCAGGTTTAACTTTATTGCATCATTGTGATGGGTTGACCATGGCTGGCTGCCATGTCAACCAAGCTTCTCTATCCCTCCCCTTCTCAATGGGATGGAGGGGAAGGAAATAGTATGTAAATAATCTGGTGAGTGAAGATAAAGGCAGCTTAATAAAGAAAAAGCAAAGGCCACACATGGAAGCAAAAAACCCAAAATATTTGTTCTCAGCTTCCCATCAGCAGTTGATGTTCAGTCACGTCCTGGGAAGTAGGGCTTTGGTACATGCAGTAGTTGCTCTGGAAGACAAGTGTCATAATTAATGTGCCCTCCCTCACTTCCTTTTCCCTAGCTTTCATTGCTGAGCAGATGTTATATGGTATAGAATATCCCTTTGATCAGTTTGGGTCAGCTGTCCTGGCTATTTGCCCTCCCAAGATTTTGTTTCCCCAGCCTATTGGTGAGGAGAGAATGCTGGAGCAACAGCTTTGATGCTGTGCCAGCACTGCTTAGCAGTATCCTAAACTTTGTTTCGTTATCAATATCTTTCTAGCTACCAATGCAAAGCACAATATATGAGGGCTGCTGTGGGAAAATTAAAATTCATCTCAGAAAGACCCAATACAGACCAAGAACTTGACATTGTTTAATTTAATACTATCCTAATAAATCAGAAGAAATTAGGAGGGAAGACAAAAATATTCTGTAACGATTACTGTTTGTAAAGCAATGAAATAGAAATGAAAGCAACTACAAAATCAAACAAGGCAAGTATATAACACCATACTTGTTAAAAGTTTTAATTGTCTAGCTATTGTATGGATTCATCATCTGTGTAAGACTGAACTTCTCATACTGAAATACTCCTGTGAGCTCTAGTATGTAAAGACTTTATCTGTAGGAAAGCTGTGTACTGGTACAGAGCAGGTTACTCTGTAATTTATTCTTCTAATCTATCCCCTAGAAGTGGATTTATGAAACTCTGAGAAACTGGGGGAAGAGAATCTGTTTGGCATTTTTGTGGAGTTAATTTTATTTCTTATTGGTACTCAGTAAACACTTGGAAGTTGCACAAATGTTGTCCACTGCCTCAGTTGGTTCTTAGAGCTGTTGTTAGAATTACACTGCCTAGGTCTACCAGCCATTTCTCCTATTCACAGAGCTGAAATTAATGCATGTGAGGCAATAGTTGTTGTAGAACGTTGTGGAGCTAAAGCCAGCCAGCAGCTTTTGACCAGTAAGAGCAGGATCATATTTACTTGGCTGCATGAACCTTGGTCTGTTGAGGAGCAATGGCTGGCCCAGGGAGGCAAGGTGTAAACCACAGGCTAAAAAGGCTTCTTGGCTGTGCTGAACTGGAGCAGGATAAAGTCACCAGAGAGGCTGGAGGTGTTTTACTAAATTCTGTGAAAGCTTTCAGCTCTGTCTTTAACAAAATATCTTTAACAATGAAGCATAAAGCACCCAAAATCATAGCAGTCAAATCTGAGATCTGTTCTGCTGTATAGTTCAGATAAGGTATTGAATTAAATAGAACTGCTTATATGGAGAATTAGCACATAAGCAGCTGTACATGGATCTAGAGTTTTAAAATTCAGTCATCTGCATCAATAAAAAAAAAAGCTTAATGTTCATATTATAGAACTTGTACATAACAAAGGAAGTGTCTTAGGTAGTAATGATATTCCTGAGATTTGAATTTCTAGAAAGTAAAAGTGTATTAATATGAAACATAATACCTGAACTTGTACTCAAACCTTGAAAAACTACTCGGATATTTTTTTTCCTTGTGTCCTTCTATTCTGTCTAACATGAAGAAGTAAGTCTTAAAAAAACCCAGATATGCAGGATGCATACGAGAGAGGAAGTGGGTTTTTCTTAAGGCACACAACCAACATTTTATGTTGCTAGCAAAACAGCTTATTTTAAATTGCTGTAAACATTTTTAAATGTTGCTCCCTCTCAGAATTTGTTATGAGAGAAAGGTAGATACTTTTTATAAGAGACTGCTAGAAACTACAACATAAAAGAAAGGATATTAAAAATAATATAAGGAAGCAACATGAAATGAAAGCTAATTCATTACATTTTCCATGGTTAGCATTTACAAGCCTGTTTTCACTATGTAAAGCCTAATAACTTTTTGTATTTCAGAGTTTTATATGGAAATATATTGTTCTCATATACAATATTAAATCTCATAGTCATGTTGTAGCTTTTCCAGTGGAATGGCTGAGATACATAAATTCTGGAGGGTATTCATACAGAATTCTAGAAGACACTCAGGTTAATCATGCAAAGCTTATTAGCTTCAAATATGGGTTTTGTGTTCCAGAAGGCCCAGAACCTGAAACATTTAGATAAATAAGTGTTTATCCATTGTAAAATTTTTTTGTGTATTATAAAGTGATTAATCTACTATTTGTTCCATTTAGTACAAAACATCTATTTAATACATTATGTTTTCAGGTCTGCATGGTATTATGGACTTGGGCTGATAGACTTATTCAAGAAAATACTATTATAATTATCTAAGGCTATCTACTTCCAAGACACATTCAAAAGTAAATTTTAGGTGACCATGTATCATACTATTGATATTTGGTATTGATACTTGGGTAATAACAGTATGGATGAATTATTTTTACTTGCACAGATCAAATTCCTAGGAACAGCAGGAACAATCTGATACCCCAAAATGCACCAGGTTCACTGTGTTTGTAGGTAAGGGAAATTTCTGCTTGAGGATTGAATCTGGAACATATTGAGGTTTTTGTACTTGTATTAATGTTGCACATTAATAGATCTCTTGGATCCCTGCTCTGATTTATGATAGACTGTGCAGAAACAAAGCAAGTCCTGAAATTAGTGCTACTTCTCTAAAAGAGATCAACAATTTTAAGTCCATGCTATGTACTTCCTGTGAGGATTTAAAAATTTATTCTGGAAAAAATTGCTATTTATATTTATATACATCTAAAATAAAAGGTAGAATAAATAAATACTAGCAACATTACCTGAAGACTTTTTTTAATAAACCTTCCTCAAAACTTTACCAGAATTGTTGTGAAAATGAGTCTCTGAAAGAAGTCTGTCTTGGTTAGTGTTTTTGTGAATTTAAAGAAAAATCTTTACCCCTGGGAAAGACAACTAAACTGGTGGGTTTAAATAAACCACAGAACCCTATGAGATCGTGTCAATATAAGCCTCATGATTCTGCAAAAGCTGGTTCTCGTGCTAGAACAGTCAAAGCAAAGGCATGGCTCTAGCTCATTTTTATTGCTTCTCCTGAGTGAAGAAACAGTCTGTTCTCAACATGGATGGAGTGAAGATAAATATTAACCCTACATTCTCTACAGATAGAATAAAATTTTAAGAGGTGAAAGACCCAAAAAAACCAGCTTTTCAAAATTGATATCTGTCTTCAGATGCCAGAAACTGTCATTAGTGACACTCAGTTTTACCCTAAAGATAACAGGCACTTTGTTTGAGCCATTCTCAAAGAATCTGAATGATGTATTTAAACTATGAATTGATCATTGACAGTTGGGTTTGTAGCAGAAAGTCAGCAGTGGAACTTGGTATTCTCTGCATATTCAGTAATCTCCTAATCTGGGATACGCATTATTATTGACGTTTTTTGGTTTTGAAGGCGGAGACCTGTGAGCCTTACAAGAGCTTTTAGCAAGAAAGGCTATTAACTGAAGAAATTAGGTCAATTACTGCTTTAGCATCTGAAAAATTTTCTCTTGTTCTATAATTGCTCAGTGCCTGCTAGTGGAAAATCAGTCTATAATGTGTTATAGATTTATGTACATGTGCCTGGATTGGTGCTGGGGGTAGAGGCAGAGGTAGGAGTGTATTTTGTTAATGATCCTGTATTCAGAAATGCAATTGGAAAAATCATTAATGCTACCTGATCAATTTTGACTTCTCCAAGTTTTCAATTGGTAGTTTAGAAGAGAAACAAAATTTTATAAGCTTGAGCAACCAATAAGGGGCTGCTCCAGACAGTAATGCAACTGTGTTTAGAGACTGTATAATAAAAGTAAAACAAAGGTGTTGAGAAAAAGATGCTGGTATTCACTTAATTTACCAAATTATTGCCTATGGTTTACAATGTACTTTCCTTCTCTATAGCCTGTTGTATTAAAATATTAAGTCTTAGATATGCATCAGCTCTTTCACTTGTTCAGCTTCTGAAGTTGTACAGCCTGATGGTCAAGGATCTGTAGAGCTGGTCTATGGAATATTTTTATAGTCTTATGGAAGCTTAATACAGGCTGTCTGAATTGAGCTTTTATCATAATTTTTTAATATGGCAAGTATTTATAAAACAGGAAAACCAGTATTTTATTGGTGTTTACTGGCTGACCTTCATTGTAATTGAAAGAAAAGCATTTCTACAAGTATTGTTAAAATGATATGCTAGAAGTGATAAAATTTTCTTCTGACCTGATCTGTTATGATATGTCTACAGGCAAAATGCGTTCCAAGTAATTGCTGTGGATGGGGTTTGCAGTGGAATAATTCAGTGTCTCTCTGCTGAAGACTGTATTGACTGGCTACAAGCAATAGCAAGTAACATTTCCAACCTCACAAAGCACAATGTAAGTATGGATCCAAGTAAGCCAGAAGGTTTCCCAATCATATTTGATTGTAACTGTCATAAAAGCCTAATGGGTTCACACACAGAATTATCTGCATATAAACAATGCTTGAGGCTGTCTGAGAGAAGTCAACTCAGGTTTGTCGTCAAATCAGACTCTGTGAGAAGTCATTGAATGGGAAAATATTCTTCCCTACAGTCATATAGTTCACTTCATCGCTATCAGAGTTATTCACTTCTTAGCAATACCAATTAGGATTAGAAGCAAAGACCAGACACACAGGAGGAAGTCATGTGTGATGCAGGAACACATTTGAAATACAAAAATTCTGTACTTTCTTCATAGTACATCTCTACAGAAAGTGGTATAACCAGGTCTGAATTAGAATTTAGGTCTGTCTAGGTATAATTTATCATGATGGGAAAGGCAAGGTGCTTCTGTTTTGTAGATTACAAATGTTCATTATCAGCAGTGATTAAATGCATGTATTCTTTGTGAACTGCACTCTTTGAGCTTGTGGCATAGATACCACTTTTTATTGAAGCTGGAATAAATGTTATGTAAAAACTTTAGTAAATACTAAGTTCAGTTGAGAGGTCTTCTGGACCTGCCTGGGGTGTGTTTACATTTAAAAATGAACATGTGGTTCGTTCATATCATTCAATAACATGCATGATACCTTCCCTGGTTTTCCTCAAAAACAGAGAACACATGGGGAACTCCATTATTTTGAACTGAGTTATAACAAGGAAGCCCTTGAGGATTTAATTTATATTTCCTTAAATCTGCTTTAGCTTCCCAAATCTGTCTCTGAATTTGCTTTTGTTTCAAATATAGGGAACACATTGAAGGAAGTTGTATTTTATGAAGATTTATAATCAAGATGCAAAACTGTGTTCCATCTGGCAGCAATATGTAAAAGTCATTGTATTATAAAAACATGACAGACATGAATTCATCTGCCATCTGCAAGCTTCCATGCAGTACCAGCGAACTTTATGGCTATTTATTCATCCTTAAAATGCTGTTGCTATGTAGAACCTTTCTTGTCTCACTAGGCATCCTGACAATTGAGGCTTCTGGGTTTTTTTCTCTTTCCATCTCTGCTTCAATCTACTAGTGGTTCTTGCTACTTAAATCAGTGGAGTTTTTTGCTTGTAACAATAGACAGAGGCACCCAAATTTTACAGGTGTTTTGAAGCACTTCAGCTCTGATGAGACTATAATTATAATTACTTAGCATAACTTGAAATTTGGCAACTTGAAATTTGGCAATGCAACGTTATTACATGATTTTTTTTTCTCAGTACAGTTTATAATTCTACACTAGTTTCCATAAAATAGAGAAAGAATTTATCTAATGTTTTATAAGAGGTAAATAGCTTAAAGTATCCAGCCCTTATGTCAATCTTTGTACTTGCTTTATCCCAAAGACATCCTGTAAAGTAGCTGTGAGGATTAGGTCTTATGATAGTTATCCATGAATCTATTTTTAGAATTGTCCTATTTGTTCATAGCTCTTATGAATTTATGGAAAACAATGACACTCTCCTTCCTGTAACATACTTTTCTTTTAAATTGTCAGTTGCCAGAAAGAATTAGTTATTTGACAGCATACGTGATAAGTGAATATAAGAAACCTTAGGAACACAGAGGGGGGAAAAATCCCAAAGTGTTGAACAGAAGAATGATTAGATGTGATTAGAGTTCCCTGTAGTTTCTTTCTTTACAAGATGGTTATTGACATGCACATACTGTTGATGTTAGCATTTTTCCTATCTGAGAGAGGCACTTACTCACAGTCATTCTCCCTTACTGTGTTACCCAGTGCCAAAGAAACAGAGAGAGTTAAAGAATTTATTTAATTCTTTGGGCAAATTGACGAATTTTTTGTTTCAGTTCACTTCTCATTCCTCTCTAGAGGTTACAGAATATAATTTGTTTCATTTAAATACCATGTAGGTCATAGAAATATTTTCTTACATAATGTTTCTCATATCTATCTACCTTTTGAAAAAGAAGGAAACAAAGAATCAGAAAAAAAGGACTGTAACAGCTAGATTGTTTATTAAAGAATTTCCTTTACCCTTGAATCAAATTTGGGCTCTGTAGATTTTGGGAGGATTTCTCTTGCCTAACTTTAGATGTCTTAAAGCAGAAAGTCCAGAGTGAATCTTATTATTTACTGTTGACATCCATTTTATAATGAAATCAAATCCCTCAGGACATGTCTGTCTTTCCTTTGACTGGTAGAGGACCCTAGGGTGGTGAGTTCAAACTTGACACCTAAGGAGGTAGATATATATCCTGATATCCTGTCACTGGTGTCTTTGAGGGGCCAAAGCGAGTTTCTCTAAATAAATCTCCCAAAGAAATGCCTGGATATTTTTGTAAAAACATAAAAAAAAAAAAAAAAGAAAGAAGGCGGCATACTAGTCTCAGTCAGAAAATCTGAATTATTTCACTTTTTCACACACAAACTGGCTGAAAAAAATTATCTGAAGGTTCAAACTCCAAAAATGCGAACAATTCCTACGTTTCCACATGTATCTACTAGTTGTGAATATGGGTCTCTGGCTCCAAAATACCTTGTCAAAACTATAATAAATTTATTTTTTTGTAAGGATACTGTCAAAAAACTCTTCTCTCATGATCTAACTTGTCCATATCTGACACAAACATGATGTGACTGAATTGCAGCATCAGCAGTATAGCCAATATCTACCAAGGAGTTAACAGAAATACAGAAGTAGAAGCAAAACCAAAATGCCTTGACATGATCACCATTTTTAAAAGACAACGTTGCTGACTGAATAAAGTCTGGAAGATGATGTCTGCAATTGTTATTATGCAAAAAGACAGTTAAAATCTTAATGAAGAGATATAGAAAATTATATTTTGCCTATTAAGAAGAGATTAAAAAAAATCCATGTGCTGACTGATGTAGTTTACTGCATTTCAGATTTTCTTTAAGAGACAAACCTCAGGTATGCACTCTTTTTCTTCATTTTCAGAAGGTCAACACAAGCATCCTCCAGTGTTTTAAGGATACTGAGAGTGATACTGCTACTTTTAATTTCTTTTGTCCCAAGAAACACACTCTCATATGATGTGAAATACATTAAAATTACACAACATGAATGGGCTTGTATACTGGAATGCAACCAATATGCATACTTTATAAATGCACTGTTGGAAGTGACTTAATATCACACTGTAATTGAAGAGGTGATGAATTTATAAGGATCATTCATTTCTGAAGATGGATTCCTCTCCAACTTGAGTCACTTGACTTGGATCTATGCTAAAAAATAACCAGTTTTATCAATAGCCTCAAAAACCAGAAGGGTTATATTAAACCTGAGGTTTAGTCTAAGCAATCCCAATACTGAAGTTCATGTGCTGAAATCTGAATATGCTAAATTGAATCTGGGCTTGGGAACTCTAATTCCTCTACGAACTGATGAGGTTCTACATCTTTTTGTTGCCAATTTGGATGGCTGGCCAAAGCCATTTAAAAAGGGAACAAGCTGCTGCTTCTTTTCTTGCTAATGCTCCAAGTAGGAATTTTCAATTCAGTTGTTCAATTCAGCTATGAACTATTTGCCTATCCATGAACTTTTAAATTGTATTCATTTGGGTGGTAATTGATACTGATTTATAGTCTTTAACATCTCTTTTATTAAATAATTTTAGGATGACAGTATCCAATTGGTCATGTAGCTTTTAAAGAAATTGCACTCTGGAAGAATCTAAGAAAATAATCCAAAATCATGTGCTCTATAAGGAACTACCAGTTGCCAATACACCCCTAATTTATGCACTGCAATTGTCAGGAAACTTAAAGGCAAATTTTTTAATGGCTTTAGTACAGTGAATGTCAGACATTTTGGGTCTTTTTAATAAAAGAATAATAAAAAAAATACATTTGAGTTAGCAACTTCTAGCATATAGCTTCATAGAACCTTTGGGGATTTATCCTCACAGTTCGGTATTTGTCACTTGTCCATTGCTTTCTCTGTGGCAGATTTTTCAATAGTGAGGGCAATAATATATCTTTACCCTTTCCTCTTCCATAATTTCTGTGAAAGACACTGCAACAGTTACACATTTATGCTTTTTACCTTGAAGCCAGCACTTGACAGCAAAGAAACAACATGAACTTCATCAGACAGAAATGACAGGCATCTGAGGTGAAGTTTCTAAACTTTAGATGGCAAAAAGTTTTAAGATTATCTTGAGAATCCACAAGTTATTACAAGATTTAGTTCACAGTAACTTCACTTTATCCCATTATATTGAATTTTTCTGGGTAAAATAACACATTTGTGAAATTAATGAGGCAAACATAGTTTATGATAGAAGCATAGCAATAGCATGAAACCTAGGATTGAGAGATCTACAAACTGAGTATTGGCCCAATGGATGTGTTTTCCAGAACCTAAGCCTTTGTTTTGAACAGAGTTGAATTGGTATGCTTAAAAAGTGCTTTTTAAAAATAAGGAAACTGCTTCTAAGAGAAAAAAAAAAAAAGTTTCACTTTCAGTAGAAAAGAAGAAAATGATAATGCCTTACCTTTACAATGCTGAAATCTGGGTACAGGGATACTTTGAGTCACTAGGTAGAAGAGGAGACAAAAAGTAAAAACAGGAGAAAAGAACTGATTAATACAACCTGTTCTACTTGTAGGAAGAATAAAATATCACAGGACTACAATCAGTGTCAGTAATTTATTGAAAGAAATTAGTAAAACATGTTTCATTTTTTTTCTAGTGGATGCTACCACCAGTTAAAACATACTGCGGAATGTTTTATTACATGAATAAATCAATATCACTCACGTGAAGTAAACTCATATTTTAGTTTTTTAATTACAATACAATGGTTAACCATTAGAATGCTCTAATATTAGTAATTTTTGAGTTTTCAGGGATTATATGCTCTTAAATGTCCTGTGATATGTGTATTACAATAATATTTATCTTTTTTTGGTTACTCAG